TCACCAGGATTAAAGTTTCGTCGCACTTGGCTACACCATCTTGAGGAGGACGCAGAGTACTTAGAAGTGTTTTTTTACGTGGCCTGGCTAGCGGAGGAATTAATCCCCTGGAATAAAATTATACTACTATACTGTTTTTCTGGACGGAGGACTTGGTGCCGGAGTCTAAGAGGAAAAGGGGCTTGCACCCTGTGCAAGAGCGACATACAGAGTGCGACGAACTTTCGCCCTACTGCAGTATTAAGGTATATTCTTGGGGCTGAAACCCCAAGCCCAAGAACCGTTAATCTTGTCAGATATGGTAAGGTTGTATAAAACGGAGTATATAAACCCCAAAAGTTAATTCAAAAGGTTACCTACCCAGCTACTAAGTATTGCAGTGTACTGGGTCTGTTGGGTATACCGCACTCTGGGTAAAATGGGTTTGGTCAGACTGCCAGAGCCTCCTTTGGCCCTTATGGTTCTGGACAGGACACGGTTTAGGGTTAGGGTTGAGTGCTTACAGGGCTTATAGCGATTAGGGTTTACAGGTGTTTTGGGCTTCTGCCGGCCACAATCCATAAGGACCATTGGGAATTGTCAGTTCCCCATCAGAGGCTGTGGTCTCAAGAATATGTTTCAACAGCCCCCGTTTACACACCTGAATGTCTACTATCTAAGAGCTACAGTTTAGGTTTCGGGTTTAGCATGTAACTACTAGATAAAGGCCACAAAAACGACATAATCTTGAACGTCTCCGAAAATGTCTTCCAACCCTCCCGCGTGACTTCATGCGACTGTCTGGATCCAGATTTGCGGGAGATTTGTGCCAAAGCCGGCCGCAACTTCGCAATGTCCGCGTCACTGGAATACCTGTGCTATAGGCTTGTGTAAAAACCATTTCAGTGTGCACACTTTCTGTTGGTGGGATATGCATGAGCAAAAAGTTCCGAGTTGAATCTTGACGAGTTTTTTAACCTAAGAGTTCCAGGCTTGTGCAATGAATATAGTAGAGGATCGAGGTGCAGTATATACCCAGGGTTTGGGGTTTACTTGGGATTTAGGGTTTAGCGGGCTGAGAAATTATCCAGCCCGAGAAGCGCAAGAAAGGTTAACTTTCCGAAATATGGTTGCCTGGCCAGCCTCCGTGCAATTGTATTTAACGCTTTCAAGGTTGAATGTGTTCAGGTTGAGCCTCTAGGTTGTGAGGTTCCAGGTTTTTGGCTTAGGTTTACGGTTAAGGGGTTAGCCCATGCTTAGATGTTCTATATCAACCACCACTATGGAACAATGTACGTGACGGTGTTGGAAACAAGGGACCCCGCGTGCAAATCCATTAGATAGTACACATGTACGTAAAGGATGAAAGATTGCACTGGAATAATATTCTACGCTCCCCTCGCCGAGGCGTCAGCTGAGGCGGAAACGTGCGCGACGTCATCCCGTTGTACGGCCTGCCATAAAGGCGGCTGGACTGCTTGGCTCGAGAGCTTGCTGCAACTGCAAAGTGGAAGATGCAATCGCAGACGAATCAACTTTTGTCGCATAGTTTGAAAGTCGGGAACATGCAATGACAAAAGTAGCGATCATCCAGCAAGCCGGGAGTAGGATTGTGGTGTGGACGCAAGCTACATAGCAAAGGAAATTGATCGCGGGACGGCTGCTCCATCCGCAAAGCGAAGAAATCGGAGTTACTGCTTTGCAGCGAAGTCGAATCCGTAGAGCTTCCCTTTTTCTGTTTTTTGTGGGAATACTCGGCTCTAAGAGGCGCTGCAACGCGGAGTACCGATTAACGTGTCGGAAATCGAAATGATGAGCTTTGCTCAGCGATGGTAACGACTACCGGAACGGGAGTATGGATGCAAGCCTTTGCCATAGCCATAGGCCTCGCGATACTAATTGGCCTTCGCATGTTTGCAAGCTCAGCGTTGGGCTGCTTCTCCTCATGCCCACGAATGGCTGACTGAAGCTGCATCCGTAATTTGCCCTGGAACCACTGAATGCATTCCTCGGAACTGTATCCCAGCGTCCCAGATTGGGGTCAACAAACAGCGTCTCGGTGAACGTCCGGATCCTGTAAACGATTTTGTGTTGCAGGAAAACTCCGACGAATTCGGCAATACTGTAAGCAACACCTAGCCACATGATGGCAAAGGGATCATCATAAATTGTTCCGATAAGGCCTGCCCCTAGGGGCGGCTGGATTACGCAGAGGTGCACGATCAAAGATGTACGGCAATGTACGGCATCAAATATTTGCGTTCAGAGGCAGCATCGTAGATGCATAATTCGACCAACCGAACCAGATGGTGCACTGGGATTCTGCGATAGATGGATTCGGTGTTCACCATTCGCACATGTTGTGCCCGTACACATGCCAACATAGCCCCGCGTGTACTGTACTCTACAACAACCCTATGTTCATCTTTGTTCCTCTGCTTGTACTGTTCGTAGTTGTTTCGAAGCTGTTGCACCATGTCTTGCTGTGACACCAGGATTGCGTGTGCTGCCAGCTCCTGCATGATTTGTGCAAACATATGATTGTGCAGCTGATCATCCAGCGCGTCAGAGATATTCATTCATTGGGCTTTCGTCCAACTCGAGACACGAGTTGCTCGAGGGAAGCTGCCTGCTCAAGGTGGTTTCTTTCGGCTCGTCGACGGACTCAAGTGATTGCCTGTGTATCACTTCCGCTCTAGCCTCCAGTTCCTGAACCTCCATTCTTACCTGGGTCATATGTGCGTCCAGGGTTTGTGATGGGTACACATTGTACTGTTAGTAGACCACTGCTGGGGGGGCGGACCAATGGGGAGCGGACTTCGCGCTGGTATGTTAAGACTAAGAATGTTAATCCTTCCGTCTGCGGCTACCCATACCTCGGAGCTGCAAAGGTGCACGATAGCTCTCATCTATTGTGGAACTGAAAGATAGCTCGCTTGGCGAATTCGATATCTCAGTAGGTACCAGGTCAGGAGAGCTCATGCACTGATTGCCAGCACACTTGCGAATGCCAGGCCGTAGGCTACGGATGATGACCTATGGTTGTAGGAAACCGCTGCTCACACGCACTGATGTCATGATGTACCCGTTCAAGTGCTAACAAAGAACTCACTTGGCAGTTCTACCTGTTTCCTTGTAAGAGCACTAGTGCAGCTGTCATGTACATACAGGATGCAAGATTACAGATGCATACTCTGCAAACATCACCTGTGGGCAACACAAGCGTTAGGATAAGTACACATAGTGAAACCCATGCGTGGAACTTAACCTCGCCACCACCACCTGCAATACCTATGATCCCCTGTGCACGGGCCCCAAGAATACAGTAGCCGCTAATCTGGTGAAATTTCATAAAAATTCTACCTGGAGGATCATGGGACCTAGTAAGTAAGCTATAGGTACCTCAATTTGGGATATATACGTGATTATAAGTATCAATGCGCTAATAGTAGTTCTACTTACTGATTCAGTCCCATGTTCCTTTACGTAAACATATCAAAACCCTAACCCCCCAGCCTACCTCGCGTGACGTTTTTGTCCACCCTCAGGGTTATAGCCTGCTCCATAATCGGTAGATCTCCAGAGCCTTGGAAGGCTGTGGGCAGAGAAGCGAAACCAAGGGATGTACCTTTAGGGTACATTGAGGTATGTTAAGGGGACATGACGTATATTGGGGGTGTTTTCGGGAACATTCGGGATGTTAGGGTAATGCTCGGGACACATTAGGGTATACTGGAGTGCATTAAGGTAGGGTATATTGGAGTGCATTAAGGTAGGTACCTTGAGCATTCTAAGTTGCAACTTTCGGGTCCAGGGTTAGTCGTGGATGCGGGGATGTGCGTAATTTCGTTGTAGTATAGAGGTCTTTGCATCGGGGTTCTGATTTCCAAGCCCTAAACCCCAAACCCCTAACTTTAAACCCTAAACCCTGAACTCTAAATTCTAAACTCTAAACCCTAAACTCTGAACCCTAAACTTAAACTCTAAACCCTAAACCGCAAGCCGAGGAGCTCAATGAGTATCTTGAGGTTTGTGAATCTCGCTTTCTGACATCGCCCGCTTCACTCGATGTATCACCTTAACAGAATAGTAGGGTTTTGGGGTGTTGCGGACTGAGCGTCGGGGCGAGCGAAGCAACGTAGAGTGACAGGTGCACCCTCTTGAACAAGAACTCTCAGAGCAGATAGAATAGCGTTTTGGGGTATATTATACTGTAAATATAATCAGGAACCCCCCAAAATGGTGATCGGGGCTCGCTAAGATCACCTGCAACAAGACTCACCCTTGCTGGCGGGTTGCTAGGTCCTTAAATCCGTCCAGGCGTGTATACCGGTGTTCCCCTAAATACCAAGCATACAAGGCTCATTTGGCGATTCCGGTTCGTCATACATCCTAAACACCCCCCCCCCCCTCATTTGGCGATTCCGGTTCATCATATATCTTATGCACTGCACCCTCATTTGGCGATTCGTCATATGTCTTAAACTGCCTTCTCATGTGGCGATTCTGGTTCATCATATATTTTATACACCCCCTCATTTGGCGACTCCGGTTCGATCATATATCTTATACACTGCACCCTCATTCGGCGATTCCGGCTCATCATGTAGTCTATTCCAGCAGGAAGCACTGAGCGGACCAGAGGGACCAGCAGACCAGGGAACCAGAAGACAGGAGGGGAGGGGCAGGAGACCAGAAGACCAGGGAAACCCTAAACCCTGAAACCCTAAACCCTAAACCCTAAAACCTATCACGGGACCGGAAGACTAGAAGACCAGAGGGACCGAGAAGATCAAAGGACCAGGGGACCAGGGACCTGCGGACCGCGAAAAATGCGCCCTCCTAAACTGGGAGTTAGGATTAGGCCCCTGGGGATCTAGACCCTCTCAATAAGGTCCCCTTTAAGAGAGCCACAAGTAGGGTTCAGAAGGGTCCCCTTTAAGGGGTCTCCTTAATACTACCTAGGACTAAACAACCCCCCAAACCCAGACGCCAAACCCCAAACCCAAACCCTAAATTCTAAACCCTAAACCCGAAGACTAAAGCCTAAACCCAAACCCTAAATCCTAAACCCTAAACCCCAAACCCTAAATCCTAAATCCTAAACCCTAAACCCTAAGACTAAAGCCTAAACCCAAACCCTAAACCCTAAACCCCAAACCCTAAACCCTAAACCCTAAACCCTAAGCCCAAACCCTAAATCCTAAATCCTAAACCCTAAACCCTAAGACTAAAACCTAAACCGAAACCCTACACAATCTAAAGCCAATAAGGGCCCAGGTGAAGTCACTGGGCGCGGCCTCACGCTGCCGAGCCCCCACAACCTCCACCGGCACAGTATAGGGTATAGGGGTTTGGGGTTTAGGGGTTTAGGGTTTAGGGTTTGAGGTTGAGGGCTTAAGGGGTTTAGGGTCTAAGGTTTACGGTTTCGGGGTTCAGGGGCTTGGGGTTTGGGGGTTAATATAGGGCCCGGAATAATTACCAACACTTGTTTGGGGGTTCCTTATGATAAGTATAGTATAATGGGCCCCCAAACCCTATTCTAATTATTAAGGCCCCTACGTTAGGGATATGCAGCCTCCACTGGCACATCCTCCTGCTCTTGGCAGCATGTGCTCGCACTCAGCCCCATAGCGCTGGAAGTCTGGTTCAGGCTTTTGGGGTTTTGGGTTTGGGGCTTTGGCTTTTGTGGTTCAGGGTTTGAGGGCTTTTGGGGTTCAAGGTTTGGGGTTTAGGGCTGAGGGTTTAGGGGTCCGGTTTTTCGTGGTTTGGGGGTGTGGGAGCTTTTGCCTTACGAGGATCTATGTCTTTGCGATGATATTCTGACATTTCACAGTGTCGGATGCTTTGCAAAACTGGGCAGCGCTGGAGGT